CGAAATAAGCCAGTCAGAGAAAGATAAATATCACATGATCTCACTCATTTGTAGAATATAATGAACAACATAAACTGATGAACAAAAACAGATCCAGAGACAGAGAAGCATCAAACAGACTGTCAAACTTCAGATGGAAGACAGGGGACGGGTAAGAGATCAACCAAATGATGTGTATGCATGCATATAAGCATAATGCATGGACACAGACACTAGGGGGGTGAGGGTATGTGCTGGGGCATGGTGATGGCCGGGAAGAGGTCAATGGGGGAAAAAGGAGACATATGTAATGCTATATTTAATACTTTAAACAATAAAGAATTTAAAAAAACCCTCAAAGGTATATTTTAAAAAGCTTGTGTCTTTGTACACAGTAAATGCTTAGTAAGTATGGGGGGAATAGAGTTATTAGAGAAGAAAGAGAAAGGAACTAAGGGAGGGAAGTGGTCATTAAAGTGTTCTAGCCTGAAAGGTTAGGAAAATGCTTCTCTGCCTACAGGACCCTTCTAAACAGCAGCAATTATTATTTTTAAATCACTCAATGCTGTAATACCACATCTGGTAATGGGAATTGCAGTAGTTAAAAAAAATTAGCACCTATTCAAGATCTCTGCTGGGCATCTTCATTCAATCTTACACTGCCGGCCCAGGCAACAGGCTTGAAACCCTCCTGCTAGAGGTCATGGTAAAAATAATCCCTAAACTAAGCCAAATGGGTATATTCTAGATACTTAAAGTGTTTCATTAAAAAGAAAAGAAGGAAGAAAAGCTAAAATGGACAATATTTTCCCCGGGAGCCTTTTCAACACTTAATATTAAAAAATGCAACGAGTGCTATAAATATTAAAAGAAACAGTATGTGATATTGTCTGCAAAACTGAAAATTCAGAGAAAAAGGCATAAACAGAATTTGTAACGGAGAAAGAATAGCAACACCAAACTAGATCCATTATTCTCTTTAAAAACATTATGCTTAACATAAATTGTGACAAAGTTTAAAAATCATGTATCAGATTTCCAAATCGTTGGTCTTTTCAAAGCAGGTATGAAATCATTTAGTGACAAAGTAAAGGATTTTAATCAATCATGGTAGAATCAAGTTACCACACATGTTGAGAACTCTTTCAAATTTCATTATAATC